TTACGAACCTGAGGGAGGAAGGCACAGCGGTTAAGATAAGGGAACGACGACAGCCAGTCAACCCCGCCCTCTTTGTAGAGTAAGGGAGGATCACGTGACCTCCTCGGACCTCTATGCACGAGGAAGGGTCTTGGCAGACTCCTCGTACATAAGCCACAGAGGAAAGCCCCTCGTGCGCCAGCCACCGAGCAATACTCGGACTCCTCTGACCGAGGGCTACGAGCACCATAGGTATATAGCATAGGCAATGTAGCCCTTATGGCTCATTGTGTTCAATTACTTAAGTTACGAGTACAAGTACAATACAAGAGTTACTTGCAGAGACACTGTTCATACCACCCTGTTGCTTCATCCGCGAAAACCAACCTCAAGAGTCTGACACCAGAAGTCTTATATTACTTCCACTCAGATCCTACTCTTAACACTTTGAACACCCTCAAGATGAGCGACATTGTTATGAACACTCCTGACGCTTCCCTCACCAGAGGATCATCCACTCGTGGTAACAAGCCCGACTTGTACCATGGAGACCGCAACAAGCTCGAAGCTTGGATCCTCCAGGTCGACTGGTTTTTCCACCTATAAGGAGACAGAATTGAAGACAACAACAAGGTTGTCTTGGCCACCACCTACTTCCGAGGTGACGCAGAAAAATGGGCCAACCCGATCATTCAACGTTACATGGATGACTCCATCACTGACGCCAACAACACTGCCTTAGTGGAAGACTGGGACGCTTTCAAGGTCAAACTCCGACAGAACTTCTCACCTTTTAAGGAATCGGTAGTCGCGGAACAACGAATTCAAACCCTACGCCAGATAGGGCCAGCCGCCGACTACACGACGATATTCTAGCAGCACGCTACTAGAATCGACTGGGACGACAAAGCACTTATGCGCATGTACCAACAAGGCCTTAAGCTAGCAGTGCGCAGAGAACTTATGAGAAGTGGAGCCAACATCAACACGCTAGCAGAACTTATAGAAGAAGCTATTAGAGTCGACAACGATTTATATGAACTAGCGCTAGAAGAACGACTATTTAATCAGGGAACGCGACAACAGGATAGGAACGATCGGCCTCGACAACAGCAATACCGACGTTCACCCCCTAATACGGGAAGGCAGCGCGGTTTCATACCATCCACGCCAGGATCCTACCAAGGGTACGGTGCTCAACCTATGCACCTCAACAACCTCAATAAAGGACGTGGATTTAGACGCGCTAAGCTAAACGAAGGACCTAAGGGTCAACACAACAAGGACAGAAAGAAAATTACTTGTTACGCCTATAGCAAGGAAGGCCACATGGCACGAGACTGTCGAAGCAAGAATAAGGTCACTCGACAACTGAACGTTATCTGAAAAGACTCCGGCCTCGACGATGGCGAGTCATGGAACGTTATCACCCTAGCCCAAGTTAAATACCATCCGCTTGATGAAGAACTTATCACAGGACTTAAGGACGTAATGCTTACTACCGCTAAGAGCAGCGAGGACGAAAAGAACCCGCTTAGCGACGAGGAATACGAGACGCCAGCAGAAGAAGAATTTCCTGCGGCACCTACGAAGCACGAGAAGATGGCCAGGTTCAAGGAAAGGAACCGACCCGCTACGCCAAAGCCGACAGAGCTGGAACCCGCTCAAGAAGAACCCCGATGGGATCCGGTACAACAGATAACTCCACCCAGTACGCCACAATGGGCGCAGAAAGCACAAGAAGCATAGCAACAATCACAAAAGGAATACCAAGCCACCAGGCAGCAGCAGGACAACAACAACTGGTACTGGTATGATGCACGCAACGCACACTATGCTCGACTCTTATGGACAGCATGCCTAGCTGCCTACTGCCTAGCCTATTACTTAGACAAACAAGGAGCGGGATGGAATCCTAAGACTATCTAAGGATACCCTAAATGCAAATACCACTGGTTTGAATGCGTAGACGACAAATGCCCAAAACACCTATGGGACAAGAGGGAGAAGAAGCACTTCCCAGGCCACGACGACCCACAAGAGGTCATACAGATGCAAACAGTATACTAGACGGAGTACGTGGACGATCACACGTACGCTTGTCAACGACAAGACTGGTAGACATGTCTTAGCGACAGTTGCGACACCTATGTCCTAGCCAAAGAATATTACGGATTCCTAGTAAAGTCTTTTTTAGGCCAGCGCCACGAGAGCTAGGGCCCTCTAGGGAGATTAATATAGTAAATCCCCTAGGACTGATAAAGCTCACAGCAGAGCTCAACGGAAAACGGATGCAGGCACTAGTGGACTTAGGATCACAGGCGAACTATGTTTTAGCGCACGCAGTTAGGAAAGCCGGACTTACCCAACTACAGAAACAACAGCTATACCCACTACATGTTGCTAACGGCGAACTAATGCTAAACGAAGAAAGAATAACACATGAGGTTAGACAGGTGACACTCAGCATCCAAGAGCATGAGGAGAAGATAGACCTAGACGTCTTTGGACTAGCTACCCACGACATCATTTTAGGACTCCTATGGCTACAAGAACACAACCCGCGGATCGACTGGAAGTCGAAGGTGTTCCAATTTGAGTGCTGCGGAACGGACGCAACCGCAAGCCAGCCTACGCATCGGCAAAGTCTAATGGTAGATAAGAGTAACATTGCCAAGCAGTGCAATATCGTAGAAAAGAAAGCGAACTCGACAGGTAGTTCCTAGAGCAGGAAGCCAAACTCAGCAGATACTGAAACTAGGCCAATGGATCACGAAGCTAGAGTACAGGAGAACAGCGCAACTCCGGAGATCCCTGAACAATACAGAAAGTACGAACATTTATTTCAGGAAGTGGTAGACGACCAAGCGTTACCAAAGCATCAACCCTGGGACCATGAGATAGTCCTACAGGAAGGAAAGAAACCGACTTTTGGGCCCATATATCAACTATCGGAAAGAGAGCTTAACGTACTAAGAGAATACATCAACAAGAGTTTAGCCAAGGGATACATACAACCATTGAAGTCACTAGCAGGATATCCAATTATGTTTGTACCAAAGAAAGACGGTACAGATCGACTATGTGTCGATTATCGGCAACTCAACGATATCACGATTAAGAATTAATACCCACTACCAAACATCACCGAGCTCTAGGATCAATTGTCTCGAGCGAAGATCTTCACGGCGTTAGATCTCCGAGACGGATATCACCTTATTAGGATCAAGAAAGGTAAAGAATGGAAAACGGCCTTTAGAACACGATACGGACACTACGAATACACCGTTATGCTGTTTGGGCTTACGAACGCCCCAGCCACGTTTCAAGAACTCATCAACAACGTACTCAGACCCTATCTGGATATATTTGTCATCGCCTACCTAGATGACATCCTAATCTACTTAGAAGAAGAGGAACAACATACTGAACACGTCAAGCAGGTACTACAGGCCCTGGACGAGTACAGCCTCAGACTTAAGCTGAAAAAGTGTGAATTCCACAAGACCAAGGTCAACTTCCTAGGCTACGTAGTAGGGGTCAACAGAGTACAGATGAGCGAGGAAAAGATTGAAGTCATCAAGAACTGGCCAACACCAAAAACAGTCACGGACATCCAATCCTTTCTAGGATTCGTGAACTTTAACAGGCAGTTTATTAAGGACTTCTCTGAGATCGCGATACCGCTAACGCGATTAACAAGAAAGAATACCCCATGGAAATGGGATGACAAGACAGGAAAAGCATTTCAAACGCTTAAGCATGCATTACGCCACCATGCTTCCAGATATTTATCCTAGGATTACCAACGAAATTCAAAACAGACGCATCAGACCTCGCGCTAGGAGGCTGCGCCAGCATACTCATAGACGGCAAATGGCACCCCGTCGCATATTATTCAAGGAAGTTCTCAGGACTAGAAGAACGCTACGACGTACACGACAAAGAACTACTCGCGATAGTAGCATGCCTACAGCACTGGAGAGTTTACGCAGAGAGCTGCTCAGAACTCACGATCTACACGGATCACAAGAACTTAGTACACTTCACCACAACAAAGGTACTCAACCAAAGACAGACCCGATGGGCTGAACTACTAGGGCAATACAAGTTTAAGATTGTCTACACTCTAGGAAAAGAAAATAGAAGAGCCAACGCTCTTAGCCGACGACACAACATCGCAGGAACTAAGACGATAGTCGACGGACCAATACTGAAAATGAACCAAGACAGGACAATGGGACCCGCACACGAAAACAACATTATCATGAAAATAGGAAACGACGTACCTAAAAGAAGTACAGCAGATTATCATCGAAGAACATCACAACAATCCTGTGCACGGACACCCAGGAATCGCCAGAACAATGGAACTGATCCAGAGAAACTATCAGTTCAGTGGGATGAAAGACAAAGTTGCATCCTACATCGCCAAATGCGAAGACTGCAAGAAGAACAAGCATAGTACTCATGCACCTTACGGAGAAATGCAAGCTCAAGAGCTACCACGAGAACCGTGGGCAGACATCTCCATGGACTTTGTTACAGGCCTACCAGTTTCAAGAGACCCTGCAACCAAGGTCGCCTACGACGCGATACTAGTTGTAGTGGATAGGTTCACCAAACAAGCCGAGTACATACCGTTCAGAAGGGATTACACAGCAGTGGATCTCGCATACATCGTTAACGACAGAATCATCCGACACCACGGAATACCAAGGTCAATAATCAGTGATAGAGACAAGCTCTTCACATCAAACTTTTGGACAACGCTATTAGCCGCGATAGGCACAAAGCGAAAACTATCGACAGCATACCATCCACAGACCGACGGACAAACAGAAAGAACCAACAGAACAATGAAGGCATACCTTAGAATCTATGTCAACTACCAACAAAACAATTAGGTACAGCTACTACCTATAGCACAGATGGCCTACAACAACAAAACATCGGAATCAACAGGAAAGACACCATTTTACGCAAACCACGGGAGACACCTAAATCTCTTTACCAGGACATACCCAAGTTAGAAAACAGAAGCAGCCATAGCCACGGCTGAAGAACTTAAGAAAATACATAAAGAACTCTGAAAAGCACTTGAAAACGCTCAGCAGCAAAGCATCTCATATGTCAACAAAAAACGAAAAATGGCACCTTAGCTAAAGAGGGGGGATAGAGTATACCTACTCACAAAGAATCTTCGAACGAAGCGACCAAGCAAAAGACTAGATCACACCAAGGTCGGACCATTTTTGATTCTCGATCAGAAAGGACTAGTAACGTACACACTTGATCTACCACTAGATGCAAAGATACACCCAAGATTCTATATCAGCCTATTAGAACCAGCAGACCCCAAAACGCCACTACAAAAAACATTTCACTACGAACCCAAGGAAGAAAACGAATTCGAAGTCGAGAAAATCCTCGCACACCGCGCGACAATCCAAGGAACCGAATACCTAGTCAAATGGTTAGGATACCCAGACAGCGAAAACACATGGGAACCGGAGGACAACCTATCCAATTGCCAACAATTACTCAAAAAATACAAAAAAGAACTTACCATCATAAGGAGAAAACCGGCGCATCGCCAGGATTTGAGGGCGACGCTAAGGCGTCTAAGGACCCCAAAGTACTCCACATAACCGGCGAAAACCCCACCAACGCATCCGCCGCGGGGCAGTCCAAGGACTCCTGCGCATCCACGTCATCACCACCAGCGCGCAAGGAATTCGCTAGACACATAGTCTTTTTCGCAGCACGCTCTTCAGCCTGCTTTAAAATCCTCTTGTTTCGCATCAAGCGCGAAATAACTTGAGCCAACAGCTGCTCATCCTCATCCACCTTCTTTTGATACTCTTCACGAGTCTTGTCTAGAGACACCCACGACATGTTCACACATAGGTGACCCAGACGAGTGCACTCTGAGCACTTCAAACGCTTGCCATCGACTTCGGGCATCGCGACGCACTGACGGTTGTTCGCAAAACAATAATCGCAGGGGACGGGCGCAGGGAGACCGTTGCGACGAATCTCAAGAGCAAGACGAAGATGTTCTTTGGACCTGGGGGCGGACATGGTTAGCCACAGGCATACGGAAAAGCTTGAGGACAAGCTTAGGAAGGAGGGAGATGGTGTTACGAACCTGAGGGAGGAAGGCACAGCGGTTAAGTTAAGGGAACGACGACAGCCAGTCAACCCCGCCCTCTTTGTAGAGTAAGGGAGGATCACGTGACCTCCTCGGACCTCTATGCACGAGGAAGGGTCTTGGCAGACTCCTCGTACATAAGCCACAGAGGAAAGCCCCTCGTGCGCCAGCCACCGAGCAATACTCGGACTCCTCTGACCGAGGGCTACGAGCACCATAGGTATATAGCATAGGCAATGTAGCCCTTATGGCTTATTGTGTTCAATTACTTAAGTTACGAGTACAAGTACAATACAAGAGTTACTTGCAGAGACACTGTTCATACCACCCTGTTGCTTCATCCGCGAAAACCAACCTCAAGAGTCTGACACCAGAAGTCTTATATTACTTCCACTCAGATCCTACTCTTAACAA